CCTGTCACTCCTCGTCCCTACTTCGCCGTCACATACATTAACCTCTTATATTTGTGAACTAGGAGCCATTTATTATTATTGCCAATAAGTTAAAGTCATTATTAATGTTTTCTATAATTATTAATTTAGCCTTTATTTATTTCCAACGTCAAAAAAAAAACACACACAAAATATATATATAAAATTGAATTAAGGCCAAAAAACCTTTATTTATTACATAAAATAAGGTTTGTTTGGTTCTTTAGTCGGCTTGGGACCGCATTTTGGGTATAGGCCACCTACAACTTATGCCATAAGGCAGTGTAATAATAAAAGCCTAACTAGGCTTTTATTATTACATTTATTTATCAACCCAAAATTAATTTAAAAAAGTACTAAAATGGCGCCCTAGGTACAGCAAACAAAACAGAGGAAGACAACTTAGAAGGTAGACCAAATTAAAGAAACGGCAAGTGGTACATGGCAGAGAGTGTCACAGTGCAGAGAGGAATGGCGGGATTTGGAATTTGCCAAAAAAAGGCCACACAGATACCTAAAAAAAAAATTGAAATAGGAACGTGTTTTTGTAAACGTATCTGAATTAAAAATCTATTATTATTATTATATATAAAAAACATATCGATATATTTTACAAATAGCCCTTCACTAGCAATATCTAATTGAGTCAGGCCGCATAAAGTTGAGTATCGCCTATTCAACTTGCAGACATACGATATTAATTTCTACAACATTGATGTTCTAAAAATATATTGAATAAAATTTGTTCCGTTTTGAGTCAAATTTAGATAACTTTTTTTATGATGTTAACGGGGTAAAGGGCCAGGAGGCTCACCTATGTTAAGTGATATATGGACACTAACATTGCCAGCAAACTCGCTTGTGGTACTAGTACGCCCTTTATGTATGTATGTGTGTATGTATGTATGTATGTATGTATGTATGTATGTATGTATGTATGTATGTATGTATGTATGTATGTATGTATGTATGATTAAATTAATTAAATACTTATAATAATAAAATAATATACATTGAAATAAATAACTAAACTTAACATAAACTAAAATATATCATTAAAAGGAGTCCATTTAGGCAAGGTTCCGAAGATACTGGCAGCGTTCCTCCTTTGAATTGCTAGACTGATTCTTTGTCCGAGGTAGCTGCCAGATCTTCGGTCTCCTGTGATGTCGACTAACCTTTTTGAAATTTCTTTAAAAAGCCTTAAAGCGCTAGGACCCCACGGACCAAGGGTCTCAACACCGAATGGGACAAAATCATATTCTGAGCCTAGACCCCTGTATTTGCATGCTTTAAATACAGGGGTACATATTTTTCGTCTATCGAGCAACCCACGCTTTTTCACAATAAAACCAGTATTTTTTGTTCATTACCATTTTCAGCCTAAATTAGGAATTATTTTTCACTTTTTAGTTTGATGTGCTTTAAAAGCGTGTTTTTTAGTTTTTTTAAACTATTATTTATTATTATACATTACATGTAGAAAATTCGGTAAAGATTGTATGGTGTTGTGGTACTCATACTGGTCGTAGGTTCGAACCGCGGACCAATGGGCTTATGTCGTATTTACTAGTATGTACGCTTACCCTTCGTCAAATACAGGAACGTTTCTTGAACCTGACACGCTCCGAATCGCAACCTGTCTACGGCTTGGGGTTCCGGTCTGCGCTCCTCATAAATGTCTACTTCTACTTGAGCCGACTGGAATTGCAAGAGACGATGGCAAAAGACCGAACGGTATGAGTTTGATTCCATGGAAGATGGGCCGGGTACTCGTTCGGGATGCAACCTGTTCAGACACACTGGCCCCTTCCCATCTACATGGAACCAACAACAGAGCTGGTGCGGCTTGTGATGCGGCTGAAAAAGCTAAAGCCTGCAAATACAGGGGTCTAGGCTCCGAATATGATTTTGTCCCATTCGACGTGGAGACCCTTAGTCCGTGGGGTCCCAACGCTATAAGGCTTTTTAAGGAAATATCAAAAAGGTTAGTCGACATCACAGGAGACAGACGAGCTGGCAACTACCTCGGACAAAGAATTAGTCTAGCTATTCAAAGGGGGACAGCTGCCAGTATCTTCGGAACCCTGCCTAAAGGGACTCCTTTTAATAATATAATTTAGTTATTATATTTTAAGGTTAGTTATTGTTCTTTTTTTGTATTTATAAGCTAGGTTAAATTATAAATTATAATTTATTGTTCGTAAATTATGACGCTTAAATGTTAATGTAACTTGTATGTTGGAGGAAAACATAAGAAAAGCGGGACCCCAATAGACGATGTGTCGGGCACTGAAAGATTATTTTTGCATAACTGAGGATGCCGATACCAAAGACTGCATTGTTTTTTTTTAGTTATCGTATATTTTAATAACGATTACCACGCAATACGACAGATGCGTCCGCCTCTTCATACCCATCGTTAGTTTGTGACGATATAAATGTCGTACCAATATGTGGAACCAGCTACCCACTGACGTATTTGCGAACCAATTTGACTTAGGGTCCTTCAAGAAAAGAGCGAACCAATTCCTAAGCCGGACAACGCACGCGAGCCCTCTGGCATCGAGAGTTATTTTTGAAGTTATACTTCTTTAGGCGCGTTATGAAAAATTGATGAGAGTGAAATTTTACGATGCGCGCGCACCGTGACATCAAATTAACAGAATGAAGTTGCCCACGGAAGATGCTACGGCATTGAACATAATTTAAAAACAACATTCGAATAATAATAGAATTTATGTTACACTTAATGTAAGAGAATAATAATAAATATTTATTTATTTCATTTTTCAAATGTAAACTGAACGTTATTGACTATAATGACTCCTTTTCCAGTCTTTGATTATTTAATTGTAGGTAATTAATTATTTACTTGCAATCAAAAACTATTTTTAATAATGCCAAAGAAGTATAACTTTTTACGCGCGTACTTAAGTACACGCACCCTTTTTTTTATCTGATCTGACATTGACTGTTCATACCGAGTACGTTAACAACAAAGATAGTTTTAATAAATAGATAAAATTAATTGTAATCTAAGACCTACACTAAACCATGAAAACTTTTTTATTTTTTTATGTAATAGTAGGCAAACGGGTAGAAGGCTCATGTGATGTTAAGTGATACTGCCACCCATGGACACCCACATTACCAGAAGGCTCGAAAGTGCGTTGCCGGCCTTTTAAGAATTGGTACGCTCTTCTTTATAATCGATAATGCAACTCAGCTGCACATATTAACCCGAAAAACTCTGAACACTCCATCGCAAATGTGGCAGAAGATGCAGAGATGCAAAACTAGAATATTACGATACATATTAAACGATTGAGAACGTAATCTTTAAATTACTTATCGATGTCGATAAACAGTTATCACAACACTAATTCGAGCAATCGAAAGTTAATTTTATGTATCCAAGTTTAATATACTAGTAATGATGCTTGTTACAAATGATAGATGGTGCACAAATTACCACAAACAGACACGATATGGGTTTAGCCAAAAATAGACGTTGTTTTGTGATATTAAAGTTTAATTTTAAGTGTATTTGTATTTACCATATGGTATGATTTATTGAATGTACATGCATATTAAATACACGGTAAAAACTTTTATATACCAATTCCATTAAAATCGGGTATCATTAATTCTATGATTTATAAACAAGTGATGGTGATAAAGTCGTAACCCAGCCAATGGAGAATAGGACAGACACTATTCTTACCCTTATTTTTCTTAAACACACTTTGATTGTCTGTGATAGACCTGGTTTGAAAAAATGTGATTGATATATTGAAGAATTAAGAATTGTGCGTTAGACGACAAGAAATTTTAGTGGTCAATCTCAGAAATTACCTATTTCTGCTGCAAAATACACATCGCAAATAAATCTGCCCAAAATGGTGGACATAAAATGGACGGATAAAATGTATTCATACTAATTATCGTTATCCTCGCCTCCTGTCCCACAGAACCCTTCGTCGGAACTATATAAAATACTTATATGTAGTTGAATAAAGCCAACGTTATATGTGGTTTTTCTCATACTATAACCGATATTTTGGTATTCTGAGACTTAATTTAAATGTTTAGGTTTTATCATAGAACAATTATTATGTTAACGATATAACGACATCTTGTATCGAGTAGAGCACACAACAGTAGCGCTGTTCATAACAAAATGTTGACGTAGTTTTAAATAAGTACGACGGATGGCGCTACAACAGGTAAATAATATTTCTTATAATACTTGTTTTAAATGCTAAATGCGGAAGCACTAAAGTATAATATATTATACTACAATTATTATAACAATTATACGATGTTAAATATTGATAGATTCATCATTAGTCACAGACAAAATTACTTTCTGAACATCGTTTTATAAAATATCTGCCATAGATGGCTCTATAAATAGTGGATTTTACTAAGTATCTAGTGGGAGTTATTTCATTATTTTTCTTTTAAAGATTCAGTTTTACATAATTGTTATTCAAGTTTAAACACGGTCAAAATTAAAGCAGTTTATTCATGTTAAATATAATAATATACATATTTTATATATGGTAACCTATAATTCCTTATCTAGGTAATATACACAATATTTCTCCTAATTTAAAATAAATTTAACAATGCATAATCCAGCCGATAAGCATTGTCGACGTATGTGAAGTGTAATTAGATTTAGACTTATTGAATTGTGCATTTTTCAAACTAGATGGCGTTGACAGCAAGTTAATCAACAAATATGAATACTTTAAACATTTTATTTTTGAAATTTACAAAATACTTTTAAATTTAAATACAATATTCTGCAATTCTATAATTATATGGTCAGAAAAAGTTCAAGATTTTTTTATTGGTACACTTTTAATATAATATAAATGTCATAAATAACAGTAAATAATACAAACTTATTTTCATTAAAATAATGTTTAACTTGAAGTAATTCATAGCGTAGATCATTTTTTCATGGGACTTTAGTGAAAGTCAGTGAGTGAATCCTGAACATCCGGCTGGTATCTTTGTCTCTGGTCGGAGTCTTCGTCCGTATAGTCGCAAGGTATCAGTAACTGCAGCAAAGTTTAATATTTGAACCATTGTTACGTTAATAATTTGCACGTAGGTAGTCTTCTGTCTAGGATACCTAAAACTAATAAATTAATCGGAAGTGGCAATTATGAGTAATCTGCTACTTGTAATAAGGTATCTAAGCTTGCACTTCAAGATAATTTGTGGTATTCAGATATAGACCACAAGCCCATGAACAAAAAATACCTGTGAAATGACCCAACGTGAATTACGTTTAGAAGGCTGTAACTATATCTGAAAATAACTCTGAGCACTATGCCGTCATTTCTGAGCGGTACATGTGAGTACGTGAGTGAATGGAATTTCTCAGATACGAAGGAGGAATTTCGACTAATTATTAATGTACGGCTTTGTTATAAGTGTATAGATGATTAAAAATAAATGTCGAAAAACCTAGTGCCGTACTAAAGTGATGGTGCCGGAAGTCGGTGCAAATTTTTAATTCGACGATAGTTGCAGAAGCAATATAGGTCATTTATTACTGTACGGCATTTGTGTAATTCATTTTGGACACATATACAGATACTTTACCCGTAAACGCCGTACATATTTCCAGCGGAGCGGTCGAAAGCCAAGGGTCGCAACATATGTCTGATTAGCATATAGGTGATGATGATATAGAACAACATAAAATTAAATGATCTTGAGAGTACTTCACAAATAGATAATATTTTCCAGGATGCCGTACATTTTTCGTGGAACACATAGGTGTATGGGGTAAATTACTTCACTCTGAAAAGAGTCATTTTCCGGTGACTTTTATCTGTACGGCAGTAACACAGGTTATTAGTACTTTAGACAATCTTCAATAAAAGATAAGTTCCGTACACTTTCGATAGTCCGCTAGTCTATGAAATGGCAGATTATACCACCGCCTACCAATACAAGGCGTCCCAAAGTTATGGGCCATGAAGGGAAAGTACCTTAAATATCGTAGATAGGGTATTTTACTAAAAGAAGACTTTTTGTTATTTTTAAAAGTTAGTAATTCTGCATCAAAGATTTTCTAAAAATTACTTGCCTCGTCTGGGAATCGAACCGACTTAAATGTAATAAAAAACGCCCCTACTTTTATGATGCCAATCGAAAGAATGGCCAAAAACTAATAACTAATAAGATTTCCAGACGAGGCAAGTAATTTTTACAAAATCTTTGAATGCAGAATTACTAACTTTTAAAAATAACATAAAGTCTTCTTTCAGTAAAATACCCTATCTACGATATTAAAGGTACTTTCCCTTCATATCCTATAACTTTAGGACGCCCTGTATTATATTTTTATTTTTGTTAAAAATATTTTTCCTTTACCTCTCTCTGCTGGTATGATAAGGCTGTAAATATACTTTACAGCCTTATGGTAGTAAACTCAGATACGTACAGTTATTAATGACCTTAAGGGACACCTCAAACGTCGTCGAAGTTTTTATCAGCTGTAAAGAATAATCTGGAGTAAAATGTACGGCATCTGGTTTTTTTTTGTTTTTTTTGTTTATTTATATTTGTTACATATAAAATAACAATAATCTTTGAAAATATTACTCCTCATATTACTCTAGGAATATTTGAAAAATCATCTAAATTTCGGAAATTTCATATATTTTTTATCATAATATTTTTATTTGTTACCATTTATAATTGACGGCTATAAGGTACAACGGTAATATTTAGTAACATTATGTAAAAAAACAAGTTGCCGTACATTATTCTCTGATCTTACAGCAGTAAGAGCTTGGTAAATCCTGAAATTTCGATAAATATTTATTTACACAAATATTAACTATAATTTTTGGACGGCATAATTATAAAACATTATTGTCCGTGTTAAATAATATTTTGAACATGTTGCCGTACATTTTACAATGACCTTAGGGTATATGGGTGTAGGGGTAGGGTTGCGACCCTTGGCTTTCGACCGCTCCGCTGGAAATATGTACGGCATTTACGGGTAAAGTATCTGTATATGTGTCCAAAAGGAATTACACAAATGCCGTACAGTAATAAATGACCTATATTGCTTCTGCAACTATCGTCGAATTAAAAATTTGCACCGACTTCCGGCACCATCACTTTAGTACGGCACTAGGTTTTTCGACATTTATTTTTAATCATCTATACACTTATAACAAAGCCGTACATTAATAATTAGTCGTAATTCCTCCTTCGTATCTGAGAAATTCCATTCACTCACGTACTCACATGTACCGCTCAGAAATGACGGCATAGTGCTCAGAGTTATTTTCAGATATAGTAACAGCCTTCTAAACGTAATTCACGTTGGGTCATTTCACAGGTATTTTTTGTTCATGGGCTTGTGGTCTAATAGGGTCAGTACAATAAGCTTAGTGTCTGAGAGATTTATTAATTTATTATACATTAAAAAAACCCAGTACCATTACCATTACAATCGTTTAGGTCTGGGCCTCAGATTTCATTATCTGTTTTGCAACCAGGCTCCAGAAGATAAACTACTCCTTATATGGAAATTGTATTCGTTTTTACAACTCCCAAGCGAAATTAGAGAATTATCACTAAATAAATTCAAAGCTCTCGTTAAACGTAAATTAATCAATAAAGCTTTTTATACATTTGACAAATATTTAAACGATCCTAATAATCCTTGCGATTGATTTGCTAAAGTTCAAACAATTTGTATGACTCAAAACTTATCGATTAAAAATAGTAGCGAAAAGTTTCTTGCCAGTTCTTCTTGCCCGCTCTACGCCCTTGACTTGCGAACTGGTAGTAAATGTAAATTTACAATTAAGTTAACTTCTTTTCTGACATTCTTAAATGTACTTGTTTACCTATATGAAAAAAGTTATTTTGAGTTTGAGTTTAATCTTTTTTTTTCAAAAGGCAATTAGGCGATCAAGCTTCTGTGCCTAACACATGCCGTCGACTTTTTGGGTCTAAGCCGGTTTCCTCACGATTTTCTTGTACGAGTGAGTGTTAAATGCGCAAATAGACAGAAAGTCTATTGGCGCACAGCTGGTGTTCGAACCTATGAGCCTCATTGATGACAGTCGCATGCTGAAGCCACTAGTCCACTGCTCAGAAATAAAATTTCATACAATAGCTTTCCCTTAAAAAAAATCGTTATTGTTTACAAATTAAATCAATCAAAATTTTTTATTCAAATAAGTAACTATGTAAGTACATTTATAAACACCAATGTTAAGAAAGAGCGTTTCCTTCCGTCCCAAATATTAGAAAAAAAATAATTTTTTTCTAATATTTGGGACCAGAGACTAAACCTAAAAAAGGTTGTAGCGCCACTGATTTTTTTTAAATCGGGTATACACGAAAAAATCATAAAATATATATTAATTGTAGATACGATATCAATTTAAAAAGTCATGTCAGGACAGACAGAAGTTTCTTCTGTGTGAAAAAAGAGAGCGCACTGGGGCGAAAAATAGGAGAACGTATAACCATTTACTACCTTCTAAGTAGTGTTCATTAAATGTTTGGATAGAGCGTGATATTAATGTGAGAGCGATACCAGAGCCTCCCTAAGTTGGCCCTTTAGTAACTACTAGAATCGAGCCTTATATTTAGGGGCAAGGGATATGCAAATGCATTTCCACCATGGAAAAAATCGCTAACGTCTACGAGTACTTTTTTCTACGCAAAACATTTTACAAAAAAAATCTATACCCGATCCGAAAACGCTTTCCCCTGCAATAAATACTTCAACTTCTGCATCTGGCACGGAGTCAGAATCTGGTCCAGGGTCTGATCTCTCTTATGGTCCCTCTTTCCATTGGTCCACCCTCGGGAGTATTGGAATGTTTGACATGCTACTGTGGTGAGAATGACGGCTATGAGGATGAAAGTGATATTCGTCATTTTGACAGCTGCAATGAGAGTATTTTTATTAGTTTCTCTTAAACTACTGGAATGGCGTAAAATTAATACTATACTTATACGATACATGTATCTAGCCTCTGAAAAGGCTTCAGCATGCGATCCTCATCTCTGAGGTAGTAGGTTCAATCCTCGGTTGTGCACCAATGGTTTTTTGTCTAAATGCGCATCTAACACTCGCACTAGTGGCAAAGGTAAACATCGGGAGGACACCTTATGTCTCAATACCAAAAACAGAAGGCTGATCACCTACTTGTCTAGGAAATAAGAATTAACAAAGATACGGATGCAATCAGAGACAAAGACCCTGTAGGTTTGTAACGTAACTAGATTATTATTATGATTCAACTAATAGTTGAATGTTACATAAAACTACTGAAAATCACTCAAAACATCGAATCTAACAGATCTCGTAACTACATATTAATATATCTGTTGAGGTTTTATTTAATTATATAAGGGTTAAAAATATTGTTCTTATATTTTTTTTAATAGACAGAGATGATTAAAAAAGTATAATTGGGTCGCTAGTCTTTGACCCATAAATTGATCTATTATTACTATGATTTATAATTATCATGAACATGAACGAAGGTATCGCTAATGTTACATTGAATTGAAATTAATACATTATATGTATAATATATATTACATACAATATATTATACTTATGCTGATCCAACCTGGCCATATTAAAAGCTCTAGTTTGTAAACGCCACGCGTACTTTTCAATTCTATCCGCTCGTTACATTAGTACGTTGAAATGCATCCGTCATCAGGAGTTATATTGTGTTTTTAATTAGAAAATTGCACTAACCTTTGTGAATTAATTATACATGTAAATTGAAAACTCAATTAACGGCGACGCATAGACTAGTTACGTAAATTGCTCATATTAATCGAAAACTAATGATATTTTGAAGAATTAACGAATTACTAGAACTACGAACTAAAAACTCGAGAATGGCTGGACCGATTTGGCTAATGATTTTGAAATATATGTGGAAGTTTAGGGAAGGTTTCAATAAAAACTGTTTCAGCAAAAAAAATAGCCACTTGGTTGTCATAATATATTTATAGATGCCTTAAGAAATTTGCGTTTCATAGCTGTGTTATGAGATTACTTACAAAAAAGTACTGAGTTTTGATACAAATATAGGTGATACGAAGTTAACAGGGTCATTCAAGTTGTAATCAATTTGAAGTTCTTAACTAATTAATGTAAAGCACAGTGGACTATGTATCCATAATAAGTTCGTTTATTAAACGCCTTGGAAAACTATAAGATATCAAAATCTAGGTATATTTAAAACAACGGCTGATACAAATTAAAATTTTAAATGAATTCAAGGCATTTAAGAATTTCCGTAAATATATGTATTTAGAATATTACTATTTAACGCCTATATATATTTAACACTTATAAAGATCACATTGTTAAGTAACAAAATATGAATACACACAAATTTACTGTTTATTTGTGTGTATAAATATTTTATTATGTACATTCACAATATTCTTAACCGATAAATAGTACCGGTGATCCCAGAGCTGGTGCTTTCCTCGCTCAACGAATAAGAATGGCAATACAGCGAGAAAATGCTGCCAGTATTGAAGGTAACCTTCACTGCCAGAGAGACCAAACTTTTTAATTTTCTATTTATCAATTTTAAAATATAAATTATTATACGATTAATGAAGTTTAGTATTAAAAATAATGAAGTAAGTTAGATTACACTTAGTGTAATTCAAAACCCCTTCCTAACGTATAAAATATGTGTTAACTTATTCCAAGATAATATACTTAAAATATTGTCACCATTACAGCATTTTCTATAATGTTTTTCTTCTATTATCTTGATGTGCAACGCAAAGAAAAGGTAGTTTGCCATTCTAAATTTACCATCCTATTTTTAGAATAATAAACATGTTTAGTTTAAAAATGTACTGAAAATTAGACTATTATTATAGTAGCTGTGACCCCGTACCTATTTGACCGTGATACTTTTATTTTGTCCGTAGGGCTCTATGTGTTTCATTCATCAATAAATACAACACAAAACAAAAATAATAATACCAAAAGTTTAATTATTTGTATGATATTTTTACACTATTAGTTATCTGTGCCCAGTGCCATCCAAGCCGAAAGAGTTGTTTCGCCGTGAATCGTACCCATATTATATGCCATAGGTCTTAATCACTGAGCCATAAATACAATATGTGATAAGTTATTAAAGTTATTTACGAAAAGCATTTTACTTGTCACATAGATTCCAAATTTAAATTAATAAAAATTCTAATTTCAAATTCCTCCGGCTAAATATAGCAAGCCATTTTCCGTTCAGGTGTTTAAACGCAAATAATGAAACGCCTCTAAGGCCTCATTTTCTTCTCGATTGTCCCTCTTCTCTATAATTATGAAACACCCTTTTTAATTTTACAAATAGCTCGAGACAATAATGCTTTGGAAACTTGACGCTACCCGTTAGGTTTGCAAATATAATACCATAGACAATTTATTTATTTCATTATTAGAAATGTAATAAACTATAGACAAACATACTTTTAGACAGGCGTGACCCAACTCCGTTCACTTTTACGTTATATTCACACCCTAAAGTGCAATTTAAGTCTACAGAACAAAATAATAGTAGACAGGCTATATAATAATATATAAGGGTCAGATTGCATCTGTTTCTTAAAGTAAAATGATAAGGGATTGACATATTCAGGCTTGTTCATGTGACATTTTCGTAAAAATTTGGCGATAGTGGGTCACGCAGTAGCAAACTCTTTTTGTTTACGCATTTAGAGCAAATGCAATGTGCAAAGCCTTGAAGTGGTTATCATAGAAAACCTTATTCCTGTAACTCTTTTAGTATTGTGAACATGTGTGAATGTGACGTATCACATAACAATGAAAATAACGATACAGTTATTTCCCCTTTTTCTTTGAGCTCGCTACTTGTTATTGTAATCATTAAAGGGAATGGGATCGTATAATGTAATATAGACGACCGGTTTAGTGGTTAACGTAAATACAATGATTGTTTCGCCGTAAATCGAACTCGGAAATTTCGGACTACATACTTGCATACTTGCTTTAAATATGAATTTTGTTGGAAGTATAAATTATAATTAAATAAAAAGGCGGGCGACGGGCGACCTTATCGTTAAATCTCTTCATGAATGTATTTATTACTTATTATAATAGACGCAGATATGTGATGTACAGATGTTGCCCCATTGAATGGTTAGGAGACCTCGAGAAACAGCAGAAAATAAGCTATCAACTGCTGCTTCAACCTGTTCTTGTTAAAAGCATTTTTTTTTAATTATCTACGTTTAGAAAACCCAAATAATTCCTTTAAAGGGCATTATTATTATTATTAAGCCTCATTTATTCCTTGGAAAATTTACAAAATATACACACTTAAAATATATTTTTTTCAAACACCTCTTATTGAGTATAGGACTTCTCCAAAGGATATATATCTAATATATAAAATTCTCGTGTCACAATGTTCGTTCCCATACTCCTCCGAAACGACTCGACCGATTTTTATCAAATTTTATATGCATATTCAGTAGGTCTCTACTGAATATACTCTACGATTAACACCTATTTTTTGTTATAGTAGTTATTTTTATTGAACTAAAAAAAAGTTTCCTATAAATAATAAACATGGCAGAACAACGTTTGCCGGGTCAGCTAGTATGTTTATAGGTATATTCTTTGCGGGTGAAATTCAAAAGATATTTTTGTGAGAAATAAAGTGATCAGCTGTTGCTGAATTTTAAACTGTAATTTTTTGTTTTAAAAATCAGTCAGGACAAGTTGTTTATATACGGCTGTGTATTTGTATAATGATTATACTTATTTAAAAAAAATAAGATGTACACATTATACAAAGTATGGCCAAGTAATGTTTGTCGGTCTAGTTTTTTAATTATTGTTAAGTAAGAGGCCTTCTATGATTTCTTAGTAAATACTACTTTTTACGGATTTCGGATGAAGCTCGTTTAGACAGTTTAGCTTTACCATTAATCCACGGAGGTGGTGGTCTGTTTACTGTTTCTACATTAACTAGTTTTATTTAAAATATACGTTATAATCTTCTAAACCTATCCTATTTTTAAACCGAAAGTATTCTTGTGCAACAGTAGTTTAGTTATTTAATTGTAAGTATTTAATACAATATGTAATAAACTTGACGTTATTACGTAAGTATTGTATTAAATACTAGCCTAAAACATTTATATGTCGTCAAATGGAAGAGACTAACTGACACAGGGAATCCTAGTGAGGAGTTTCTCTTTTTACTAGATACACATTATTTTTTTATTGTGTAACTTATCTTTTTGTTTCATGTACATATGACATATTTTGACATAATAAATAAAATCACTCTCACTTTTTGACCCGCGATTACTGTTTAGGAAAATAATTAATTTCATTTTAAATTAATGAAACCTTACGTGCACAAAGAATAAAATTAATATTATTATATCTTTTATTTTTGTCAACTATACAGTTTAATCTAATATTTTATTATACAATCGAATATCTGTGATTTTTTTATTCTCCTTCTTCCCAATTTGTTGTTACTTAATTTATTGCCGATGAGTAGGGATGCCTACAAATTGAAATTTAATGACGTGGAATAAGTGATACATGTATCTTATGTTCCATAATAAACATATTTTATTATATATTATTATTATTGACAACGATATATTTTTTTAAATATGTACAGTAGTACAGTTGAATATCTTTTGGATTTTTTTTAATACAATCGAATAACTGTAACTTTCTGGAGTTAGTATACTTTTTCCCCAATTTGTTATGATACTTAAAACATTATAACAAATTGCTACAATCTTTTAAAAATATAATAAATTTGTTTGATTTTCAGTATTCCTCAAACAAGCTAACAATAATATTATCTATACAATTATTCAATAGATAATAAAAAAAAACA